TACACTAGGTACCTGACTGTACCATGCCAATGATCTTAGTTGTCGAGGCATTAACTCAATAATAATAAAAAAATAATTTAGGTAATACTGCGATGGAATACTTTTTAAATTATAAAATACAACTTACGATAAAAAACTACCATAACTTTATGTAAGTACGTATATTTTTTTTTTTAGATTTTACCGATTAAGAAACATACGACTAGCTATTTTCGTCTGATTGAATGGAAGATCCCAACTACTCTTCTAAACATTTGAATCCGAAGATGAGGTGCTCCCGGTGGTTGAAAATGATCCTGATTATGTAGAAATAGTAAAACACACAAAAAACATCGGTTTAAATTTGAACCAAGCGATTCAGCTTTCGAGACATCAGAAAATGAAGTTTATAGGCAGCCAGGTAGGATCATTCTGCAAGGAATTCACCAAAATTTTTTACCTACTTATTAGGAGCCAGAAGAAATACGACCAGAATATGCAGCAGTATTGGTCAATGAAAGCCCATTTTATTATTTTTCTACATTTATAGAAAACGATATTATCGAGATCATGGTTTACCAAACAAAACTTTATGCGACTCAAATATTAACTTCTGGAAAGGATGTGCCAGAAAGTTCCACAAAATATCAGTGTACTTCAAATACGACAACTTAAATGTATGTATGTAAGTTTTTGGGTCTTATAGAATACATGGGGTTGGTAAATATCCCCACAATACGCCATTCCTGGAGTCTAAATACATTATATAATAGCTTTATACCAAAGGTGACGAGTCAAAATTGATTTGAGTTATTAATGCATGTTTGGCCTCTCTCCCCAATGGCGCTACAACTCAAATTGAGCTTTGGACTGCTCCAAACTATGTTTCAACCTTGCCGGTGCTGCGCCGATCTTCTCCAGGTTCTTACGTCTGTCCGCTGCCACTTCATCCTATCACCTTTTTCGTGACCTTTCTTTTGGTTTTGTGCTTCATTTTACTATCTAGGTCTCTTTTTGTCAATCTTTCGTTTTCCAGGTTGGCAGGTTTGGCATTATATATATATATATATGTATATATATTATATATATATATATATATATATATATATATATATATATATATATAAGGTTCTTGAACTCCTAAGTGGAGCATAGAGCTTCAGTGAAAACGCGTCATCGGGTTCTATTTTGCGCTAAGGCCTTCACCTCATTCCAAGACTTTCCTTGTTTTCTTATCTCGTCCATGATGGATCTTCTCCAAGTTTGTACTGGGCGACCTTTTTTTCGTTTTCCTTGGGGATTCTACTCTAGGGCAGTCTTTGCAATACTGGAGTTATTTTTTCGGAGTGTGTGACCGATCCAACCCCACTTTCTGGACTTTATTTCATTTACTATTCTCTTTTGTTTGGTCAGGTGTAGTAAATCTTCGTTTCTGATGATGTTAGGCCAGAAAATACGAACAATTCTTCGTAGAAATTTATTAACAAAGACCTGCAGTTTGTCAGTAAGGTTTTTGTCGCTTTCCAGGTTTCACATCCGTAAAGTAGTACAGACATGACATTTGACTGGAATATGCGGATCTTTGTCCTCGTAGTGTAGTCTCCAGACCTCCAAACAGGGTTGAGCATGCTGAAAGCTTGTTGCGCTTTTCGTATCCTCATACGAATATCGTCTTCTGTACCTCCGCTTTCTGTTATGACACTTCCAAGATACGTAAAGTTTTCCACATTTTCAATTTGCATGTTATTAATGGTGAATAGCGTGTTGTTTCTTGCATTTATTCTCATGGATTTGGTTTTACCAATATTGATTTTCAAACCTATTTTATTGGCTTCAGTGGAAAGTGTTTCCAATTGGTCAGCCACATCTTGGAACCTTTGTCCTAACAGGCAGATATCGTCGGCGTATTCTAGATCGATTAGGCGTGTGGTTAACGTCCATTGTATCCCTCTTGTGTCAGAGTCTAGTTTGGAGAGAACATAGTCTAGAGCTATGTTAAAAAGAAACGGAGAAAGCACGCATCCCTGTCTGACTCCAGTAAGTACGTCAAATTCGTCACTGTTGATCCCATTGTGTGTCACGCTGCATTTTGCTTCAGTGTACAGTAACTTTATAATGGAAATTATTTTATGTGGGTTGTTTCTTAGCTCTAAAATTTTCCATATCGCATCATGAGATAAGCTGTCAAAAGCACGCTCGAAATCAACAAAAACCATGTATAGGGGTGTGTTCCATTCAACCGATTGTTCCATTATTAGCCTCACAGTATTAATGTGGTCTATGCAGGAGGATTCTGGTATTATACAGACAATACAATGTGATCGCACATTTAAAATTCAGCCTCTTGTTGATACACTTCTAAAAAATATATATAGGTGTATACGGCAGGAAATAACTTCTGTATAGATGAATCGCATAATCCATTTCAAGGACGTCTCATATAAAAGTAATGCTTGCCTTAAAACCCACAAATATCTAATAAAAGTATTCAAACTGTGATCTGGAGGAGGGTATACATGGAAAATGAAAATTTATTGCGTTAAAGAACAAGATGCAGGAGGTAGTGTTCCCACAAAATTTGTAATGACCCTTTCTGAACAATTTTTGAAAAAACACACCTTTTGGCTACACTTCAATCAAATCGATGCGGCAATTAAAAATAAGTTAGATAAAGACAAAGACCTGACATGTAGAGAAATTTTTATGTTATGAAATGGAGTGACAAAAGCGATGTCTTACTTTTGTCGACAAGACATAAATATTCAATGGAACAAGTCAAAGTCAGAGACCAAACAAAGCATAAGCCAACGGCTGTTCGGGAGTACAATAAAGAAAATAGTTCCATAGACCTTTCAGATCAAATGGTATCCTATAATTTAGCTTTGAGAAAGAGTATAAAGTGGCACCGCAAAGTTGCAATTGAAGTACTATTTGGTACTACAATGGTAAATTCGCACAATCTTTACAAAGTTATTAACAATTTCCGTATATTAATTACTGAGTTTCACGAAAAACTGTACAAAGATAATATGTTGTTTTATAAAAAAAAACAAAGAAAATACGGAAAATGAAACACTATTTTTAGCAAAAAGGGAGGGCATTCGCACAAAACAAAAAAATATTGCAAAGGATGTTACCAAAAAAAAAGAGAAGGAATAATATCCAAAAACAACGTAAAAAAGTTAATGATACTTTTCGTAAATTCATTTTGCTAACAACATGTGTGCAATAAATTAAGTTATGTCAAATTCTTTTGTTTTACAAAAGAATGTTTATTTCTGTAGTTTTTCTACATATGAATTTTGCAACAAAATTTTTTGTTTGTATAAAAAAAAAACAAAACAATAGACAAAACCCTTATACTTAGGCTAACCTGTACGCCTAGAGGTCCATTGAATTCGATAATATCAATAAAAAAGGTGGGTTCCTTGGCCCGCAAAAAAAAAAACACAAATATGACGTTTAACCTGCTAAAAAAGGCTAAGGAAAAATAAGGACAGAAATTAGACAATTAGATCCCATCTAAAATTAGAGTTACATGAGTATACATACAAAAACCAACATATTTGAAACATTAGTTTAAAGATTCTGTCGAGTGACAAGAATGAACAAAATACGAAATGGGGAAATAAGTAGACAATATCACTTTAAACCGGATTTTGATTCTGTAGAGGTGTAGGTACACGTGAAGCTCTCTTTGCATTCAACAAGACTTTCGATAACGTCAGCGACAAAGAGCTAACGGACGTCTTTAAAGCAAATCAGTAACAATACAATGACCTTTGAATTATAACAATATTATATTATAAACAGAAGGGGAGTGCGTCAGGGGTGTGTATTGTCACCACTACTATTCAATGCATACTCTGAACAAATTATGAAAAGAGCTCTTGCAGGCAAACAGCAAGAATAAAGGTCAATGGAACACCAATTAACGACATTGGATATGCGGACAACACCATCATAATAACAGACAACCTCCAAGACCTCCAAAAGTTAATGAACAAGATAATTGAGTATGGAGAATAATATGGATTATCAATAAACATCAAGAAAACTAAATTTATGAGGATATCAAAAAGGTACTTTGTGCAAGAGAAATGAAATTAGGCTTAAGAGTTGCAAGGTGTTATATTTTCTCGACTCTGCTTTACGGAATAGAAGCATGGATACTTAAGGCGTCGACTACTAAAAAGTTGGAAGTATTTGAACTATGGGTGTATAGAAGAATCCTGAAGATGTCATGGACCGAGCATATAACAAACCATCAATATTGGAAACCATCAATACACGATAGCAGCTATACCTGGAGCATGTTATGCGTAATGAAAGATACAATATACTTCAATTAATTATGCAAGGGAAAATCTAGGGTAAGAGAAGTGTAGGAAGGAGAAGAATCTCATGGTTGTGTAACTTGAGGGAATGGTATGGATGCACATCAATCGAACTATTCAGAGCGGCAACATTAAAGATCAGAATAGCCATGATGATTACTGACCTCCATCGCGGAGATGGCACGTAAAGAAGATCATTTTAAAACGACACATTATTAAATATAAAAGAAAATATAGAATGGGTATGTAAGTAAAGTAAGTGACAGCAGATTAAAAACAAAGAATTTAGCCAAAATGTAGACAGAAGAAAAACTGACATGGAAACTTAAAAAAAATAATAGATGAAGCCATATTTAAACTAAGAATAAGGCACGAGAAAAGGAATGAAAAAAATTAATGGTAAATGTTGTAGGAGAAAAGAAAAAAAGGGAAACACAAACAGTGGTATCGTCAAGTATCTACGTACGTGTTTGAAATATTAATTAAATCACAAAATATTTAAACAGAGAAGTAAAACAATAGCATGAAATAATACCAGAAAACCAAAGATAAAGAATAGGTCCAACGCCTTTATAAAAAATATCAGCTAGAAACGACTGGTACAGTACACTTAAAAGACTCCATATATGAATATAAAAAAGTAACTATTATATGCAGAATAGGTATGTAATAAAAATGACTTACCTTTTTCATTAACATCCCATAATACCACAGTTGATCCCAGTCTAGCTAATCTGAGGGCCAGTAATCTCCCCAGTCCTCCTCCCCCACCGGTGATTAAAGCGATTTGGCCATTTATATTTTTCCTATGTTGGTAAGCGGACGGTAAACAAGCTTTGTAAATAGCGGCGATGATTAGCGCCACAGAATACGCCAAAAAACCTATCACTTCTATCACTGTTATCACAATTTGGTTGGCACTTGGTGAGTGTTTTTCGGTTGCCATCTTACTGGTTGAAGTTCAGCATCAAACTACATACACATTCTATCCGACCAACCAACTATGTATATATCGCTGTCGGTAACGTAAAAAAGGTCATAGATGTTAACGTTGCTTATCTGAAAATAACAAAATTTAATAAGACACTTCAAGTACCATATTATCATTATATGTAAGTGGTCACAATAATATATTGATCGATATGAACTTTGTTTCGTACGATTGTATTTTTAACTTAATTAGTTTAAATATTTAATAGCTTCTAGATTAGAAAAACATACGAGAAACACGTAATTCTAGTTTACATATATTAGGTAACAAACAGTCTCAGATATTACTATGATTATTAATAAGTAGTGATCTAAAAAAATAAGTTTAAAGTAAATGCAACTTTGCAAGACTATTTTAATAAAAATTTACTAAATAGTCTGAAACAAGCTGAATTTTGCTGAGAATATCAATTTTGGGACCTTAAAAAAGATGCAAAAAAAAACTTGCCATCCCGATATTCTCCTTAAACTCCCCCTTGTAGGGGACGAAAAACAGAAAACATTGATTTACCAAGAATTGGTACGCCGTAGACAAAAATGTTTCAAATAAGAGTGAGGTTTATTATAGACGTTTTCAACTTTCTTGGCGTGTGCGTGTAAAAATACTGACACCGTATCGGCCAAAAGCATCGGTGTTATTGCTACAATACTGGGAGACGTGAGTGGTCTCTTCATTCTTTTCTCATCGCACTTTACCATGATAAACGGGACTCGCACAATTGAATTACGCATCTTTGTATCAGAGAGAGAGACGAATATTAAAAATTTCCTTAGTAGCTTATTTCAGGCACACGCCAAGAACGATGAAACCGAGTTTAGCACTTTTTGTGTAGAATGAACCCTTCTCTCAGAAACTACGCTTGAAACAACCGGCGATTTGAAAGGTCAGTTACGCGCGTGAAATTAATTTTGAAATGAAATTTGTATCAACTCTGCGGTAAAAATTCGATATCTAGAGATCAGAGTTAAATAGCGTTTTAAAAAGCAGCTTTCGTATGCAATTTTTTGCATTTGGCCGCAAATGAAGACAGTTTCTATAAAGCTGTTAAATAAATAAGCGTTGCGCGATTTTTGACATTTGTTACGATTCTCATAAGTTAAATCTTGTTTGGGATCCAAAAATTGACATTCTCAGCAAAATTCAGCTTGTTTATATGTTTAGAAGTTCAATGGCATCTTTGTCCCTGACGAATGGACTAAAACTAAATTGAATTAAAATATAAAGTAATTATACAGCTATTTCAAATCGAGTGGCGAGCCCTCCCACGAAATAGTTGATCGCGCAGACAATAGAATATCTATGATCAGACCCATGCAGTGGCGGTGCAATATTAAACAAATCAAATTATTTGAATCGCACTAATTACAAAATTATTATTCACTTAAGTAATAAATATGGTTTGATTGTACACAGATTGTTTTGTAGATACCAAACGTTTTGTTTGTTATACTACCATCTTTAATAAATACTGTGTACTGTTTTGAACATATTATGTACAACAACTTTTTTAAATATTTTTAACTCGTAATCATTGTCTCCTGATGAAGCTGACAAAAAATCAGCGAAATATAGAGCATTAAAAGAAAAAAAGAGTTTAGTAAGATTATCGACCGAAACGTAATTAACAATTTATTGTGTTGGAGTATCGGGTATGCGGTCTGTTATTTAAAAAAAACTCTTTTTCTTTAAATGCTCTATATTTCGCTGATTTTTTGTCAACTTCATCAGGAGACAACTAAAATATGGTTAAAAGGTAAATAAAAATCAGGTGAGAATAAAAAATGAATCACTTACAGATTAAGAGTTAAAAATATTTAAAAAAGTTGTTGTACATCATATGTTCAAAACAGTTAGTAGTGACAGTATCGGTTAAAAGCACCCAGGTCATTAGTAATTAAATATAAAAACGGAGCAAACAAAAACAACCAAGAAACATTTAAAACACAATAAAATTACACATTCAAAATATACAGGGTGATTTAAAATATAATTGTAAACAGAAAAATTATTTGCTAGCCCGAAAAAAAAGCCCGAAAAAAACTAGCCCGAATGATGATAATTAGTGAAGGTTTGTACACTTTTTGTGACCTTGGAAAATTAATTGAAAACTATGTATTTATAAAAATAATGTTGGGATTTAACTATGAATATTTCAAAGAAGAATTGAAATTTAGCATATCTTAACGAATATGTTATAGGCAAAGAGTAATGAAGGATCTCCTTACATTACCCAATTGCTTGGATATTGATGAGAACGTGTACTTAGGAGAATTTCTAACAGAAAGAATTCTGAACGTGATTTGACTGATATAATTAGGGTAAAATTATTGAATAAATGATATAAATATGAAACTAGTAAAGGTTTAAAAAAAAATCATTTACTTTAATTAAAATAAAACTCACCCAACGCAACACTATTTCACTAATTAAAACAAAATCTTCTTATCCCAAAACTTCAAAACTCAAAACAAAACGCCTTCTGTAACTTAAATAATTGACCTCTGAATAACTTAAAAGGGCTTTCGGCTAACTTGAAAACCACGTGCGTTGTCCGCTGGATTCAATCAGTCCTCTGTCCCGTTCAAAGGCTGGATATAAAGTGCCTTCTTACACTTTTAAAATCATTGGCTTCCGTCAGCTCCAAGGTAAACGGAAACGGCAGGTAGGCAGTTTGACCAATTGACAAACAATTGATAACACCATTACATGTATAGTTAGTTGCATACCTTACAGGCAGAATTAAGTTATCTTAAAATTTTCCGTAACGATAAAGAACTCTTATCGTTACATGGTACCAGCAAAACGGTGTGACACCCCATTATACTCTAATAGTGAGAAATACTTGAATGAAATCTTCTTCAATAAATAGATTGAACAAAGGGCTACTATTGAGTGGCTAGCTAGGTCGCCAGATCTTACGCCTTTGGATTTTTTTCTGTGGGGTTATCTCAAGAACAAAGTATATGCAACACAACCAACTAGCATTGAAGACCTTATGAGTTTTATAGAAGACTGTGTTGTTGCCAACAAGGTGGAGAACATTCTGAGCATTTATTTTAATGTAATAAAATCAATTACCTCGAGTATTATATGAATTAATTGTCTTTAAGAAAATTATACTTAATTTTAAAATTTCACCTTGTATTATTCCTAATAGACCCTACATGATATAGTTCGTTGAGATCGGGTTGTTAAGGAGCTTTTAAAAACATAAAAATATACAGGGTGTTTCATTTAAAATACATATTATGGACTAGGACATACTTGCGTGGATCACCCTGTACATGCAAATTTATGATTAAAAAGCGCACATTTAAATTTAAAAGTTAAGGTATCTCAACGTTTTTTATTATTTTCTAAAATAAGGACACAAACAATTTTATTCCATAAGCGGTTTCCACACTGTATATAAACAATGCTCAAAATTAAAAAAGTCCAAAAGGTCTAGATAGAAATATCAGACAAAAAGGTTCAGAAGAACCCTTCGGGATGATACAGCGATAGATAGCAACTTGGGAACTCAAATGTTTTTTACATGATATTTTTGCTAAGTTTACTTATTAAGAAATGTAAAAAATAATATTTATATTCTATATGTGATTAAAGTGTTTTTAATATGTAGAACATCATTAAATAGTCAATAATATTTATTTGTAATAGTTACAGACGCTAAAAAAATACGAGTTTTTTCTAAAAATACTTGGAAGTCGTGACCGTGTTTAAATTAGCGGTAAATAAACAGTAACATGCTAAAAAAATTCGTTGTGTTATAAAACCATTAAGTTATAAAAACAGACGTTAAATTTCCAATCACTAACAAGAATAATAAAAATTTCAGAGTAAAATACCCAACATATTACATTTCACGCCTTTTATTTTGTTGTTCTCTGTAACAATACATCACAAAAACTGTTATCAAGCTTTACCCATGCGGTTTATGGAGTGGATTTTCGTGTTTATTTCTAAGAATTTATATTGATTCTAATAAAATTTAAATTCAAACAATTGAATACATGGGTCAATCAACTTAACACTTTTTTTGAACACAATTAACTTCGCGAGTATCTAAAAAAAAATCACGAACAGATGGGAAATCCTTAAATAGAAAGTTCCATTTCCTATATAAAATTAATGTATTAGGTATAGCTTTTCTTGGTTTTAAAATATATCGTCTTGGTTTTTGCTCTCGTTAAAGTATTAGTGTTATTATTACCACTGTCATCAATGGAATCAAAGTGACAAAATGTCTTGCTGTAAATGGCCAACTTATAAACAACATTAGATATGCAGACGATACAGTGTTGCTGGAGGCTCCAGCAAGGGCTCCAAAGGATGATGGATAACGTTGTAAAAGCATGTAACAAATACGGCCTAAAACTAAATTGCAAGAAGACAAAAATAATGATCATTAGTAAGAACAGCAGCATAAACGCCCAAATTACATTTAACGATACACCGTTAAAACGAGTAGACAAATGTGCTATTGGGGCTGCAATATTAAGAATACTTGGGATCACAGCTACGAAATAACTCGTATTGAAAAAGCTAGAAGCTCTTTTAACAGCCTTAGGAAGATTCTCTGCAACTTATCTTAGAGTATCAATATATGCATAAGAATTCTTAGATGTTACGTCTTTAGTGTCCTCCTCTATAAAAAAGAAAACTGGAGCCTTACAAAAGATACCATAAAACAATTGGGGGCATTTGTAATGTGGTGCTACCGACATATGTTGAGAGTCTCATATATACACCAAACAAGTAATATAACTATTCTCCAGAGGCTGAGAAAAGACAAAGAAATTATTAACACCATAAAAAACAGAAAATTGGCTTACTTCGGCTACATCATGCGTAATGATAAATACCGACTTCTACAGTTGATTTTACAGGGTAAGATTGAGGATAAGAGAGGCCCTGGACGTATATCCTAGCTGGCCAATCTTAGGAAATGGACCTATGTGGTCGCCAACATCTCTAGAAGACAGGCAAATTTAGAAGAAGACAAAACATCAGAGGCAAACTCCAGGTAAAAATAATAATACAGCGTTTTAATTTCAACACCTCCATT